GGTGTCGTGGAATTACGTCGTTACACCGAAAGAAGTTTTCTCGATTTGGCATCGGGCCCGCGAATATACATACAGATCATGGCACCTGCTCTCTTTGTCGTTGTCACTGTGTTGTCAGGGAGAGAGTGGATTAAAAAGGAAATGTAGCTCTTGTTTTTGTTGTAAAATAAAACTATTCAATTCTCGAACCTAATCCTGGACTTTTTAATTATTTTGATCTTTAAATATTTTAGGCTTTCAACATAGAATGCGTGTATATATTATATCGATAATGTAGGTATTCGTATTTAAAGACCAAGACGTCTAGGATTAGGCGCGTTGTACGGACAATGGTATTTTTAGCCTAACTTATTTGAAAACTCGATAATTTTTAATTAGTCGAGAAAGAGAAATTTGTTGAAATCTTCTCGAGTCAGACGCTTTAATATGTCGGATGTGTCGAGATGTCGGCGTGTTTGTTTGGAAAACCCTTGTCATTATTGCCGCGGCACTTGCTGCAGTGTTTGAAGAATCGTAGCAAGTTCCTTAGAAACTTCCTCTGAACGAAAGTACGATCTTTTGAAGGTTTATGACTTTGCCAAGGTTCTCGTGAGCCATTTAATATTTCGCGTAGTTTATACAGTAACCGCCTGCAAAGGCGTATTAATTTACCTCTATATTGAAAAAATCAAGTTGTTGGAAGAAGGTTTTTTTAATCGCGACTTTTTGTGCGCGACGTCTCCCTCGTATCCCACGAGGATGCCTTCGACATTTTTATGGACGAGCTGTATTATTTATTATGCTGTTGTGTGTAGACGGGCGTATCGTAGCTGAAAGACGTCTTTTGTAAATCTATGGGATATTATTGCGATCACAGGCTCGCGAAGAGGCATCACCCAATAACCGGGAATTTAATCGTCAATCCATCAAATATGAACGCAATTCCTTGGCTCCTTTGTAGCGCTCAATAACGAAGTCGTAGGAATTTCCCGTCTGCTCGATGCAATCGTGCATCTCATCAATCTCCTAACATTATTCCAAAAGGCACTTGCTTCTAAAGTATTATTTAATATTCGACGCGATCGATATATGCTTTCTGTCAGTTCGCTGCCCATATTATGCATTAAAGAGCTAAATAAAGCCGCCGAGGAAATATCACAATTTCGGCTAGAGATCCCCCACGGCTTCCGTTGATCCGGTACTTCTGTCCTCCACGAGGACCTCAGTCAGTTAGGAGGAAGAATCCACTCACTTAATGTAGTAGTGCCGGTTATATGTGATTCTGTGCTCTTCTCCAGTTTGCCTCCTTCATCCCTCTTCGCTCTCCGCCCGTTCCCGGCTGTTTCTTGTCTTATTTCCTTCCTCTGTCATCTCTTCTCGTTTCCTCTGTTGTCTCCCTCACTCTCTCTAGCTTCATCACCCTCTCTAGCTTTATCTTTCTCTCTCTCCCTCTCCCTCTCTTTCTTCCTGTCTCCGTTGCAGTCGAGTTATCAGCAACTTTCCACTTTAACTAACAACAATTCAGTAAGCAAACAATTAAGCCTCGGCTCGTGGAAACTTCGTACGCTGTCAGGCTATGTTTGTCGGGTCGTGGCAGTATTACAGAAAGCTGCTACACGAAATTAAAGTATTAACGAGACACGCCGTTCCCCGCGGAGCCCGTTTCAAGCAAGATACTGCTAGTGCAACAACAAGTTTCGTGGCTCGAACGTCGTCCAGAATGTATCCTCTGGCTGGGTTGAATTCTTCATGAGGTCCGATGGCGTTGCGCAGATCCCCGGGAGCCGCGACGGTAAAGCTGTCTGGCAACCTACGGCTTATCTGCATCTCGAATTGATCGCGGTCTATCGCAGCTCTTTGCGCGCTACGACGATATGCGAAACTTATTGTTGTTGCTGATTATGTATGCGTGCTTTATTGTAGCGCGCTTTATCGTATAATTGGGATTATTGTAGTAAAATTTCGCGAAAATAACCGAAGCTTCTTTAGGTAGAGGCGAGAACATTATAGTTTTTTGTTTTTATAAGACTTTTTTAATTGTGCAATATTTTTAATGCAGAAATGAACTGTCAGTAATGTCAATATTTTTTCGCCGAGGGACAAAATAAATTCCATTAGAAACATTGCAGATTTTTGAGTAGCAAGTAATTTCTCAGTTCTTAAATGCCAATTTCTCGATTAAAAAAATCTATAATAATTTTTACTGTAAAATTCTCTCCGTATTTTTAATAGTCATTATTATATTTATACTATATAACTACCATTTTTTCAATAGTTTATCGTGCAAAACAACTATACGCACAATAACAAAAATAACATAGAAATAAGATAACCTAAACGAAAGGCAAAGGTTCACGAACGGTGCGATCCGTAAATGGACTTCTATTCCCGCGTGAGGCGCGGGTTAATTCACAGGGACACCGGAATAATTTAAAGTCATTAAAGACGGTTTCGGCCGGCGGAGAGCGGCCGGCATTACCGCATAATCAATGCCGGAGTTACAGACGTTAGTGACGTACGAGTGTTATGGTATTAGCGTGAGTGCAGCCATTGGTTATGGATCAATTGCATTCGGGAAGGTCCAATCGGTGGTTACGGCCCTGTGCGGAAACTGCACAATCCTGCAATGATGCATCGGAACGCCGGTAATTCCCACGATGCGCCACCGCCATTCCGCTCCGCATACTGACTAAAGTGTTCGGTCTGCAAGTCTGCTGGCTTTCGTCCGATCTGCTTGTTTCTGGATCGATCATTTGCAGCTACGGCGGCATTGCGCGCCGCCTATGTCTAACAGCGGCGCATATTACGGATAACCATCAAACGGGGCTCCCATTTAGTGCAGTGGTTCTTGAAACTTCCCCAAACGGGCAGCCCCTGGGGCCGTTTCACGTGATTGCCCGCGTTCTCGCGATCCGCTCGCTCGCTCGCTCGCGAGAAAGTCGAGAAAGAACATTGGCGGTGGTGTGAGTGCTAGTAACAGCAGCAGTAGTTTACGTAGTCGCTTGCGACGGCTATTAATCACTCGCTCGCAAATTACATTCATTCGATGGTTACGGAGATGCGCGAGCGCACGGGAGAGCGAGCGAGCCGCGCGCACGCGGTTATATCTCATAAAGCTTCCTACGCAAGCTCCGCGATTGGACCTCTGTCGATTTCGAGATTTATCGCGAACATCGGCGCGGAGTAATTGAATAACGTATTTGCGTTGTATCCGTCGCGCGAGGTAACGCACCGTCTCGCCGCGGGATCGCTGTTGCTGGAAGAGAGGGTTTGCGTTTCTTCTTCGTAGGCTGTTTTATGCACGCCGCGCACAATGGGGATCGTATCTCCCGATGAGTGGCTTTTGTGCTGACCACGATTACAGAAACGCTCGAGAGGAAACGAACGAGCGCGGTAATTGAATGCGACGATAATTGAGAGTCCTCCGGGGGGTACCGCGATTTTTCAAGGAGCAGCGCGCGAAGCTCTTCAGGCCGGAGATCTCGAGGGCCGAGAACAATTGCGCTTCGGCAAATTGACAAAAGGCATAGAATTTGTGCTCGTCCGTGTTTCTTCCCTGTGCCCTATTTTCTTTCCATCGCTCCGTTATTATTTGCACAATTTTCTTGCCCCTTCTCCTTCCCCGCCGAGATCTCCTCTCTTCCGCCGCTGCCACGCTTTAACCCGAACGGGAGAAATGGCAGGACCGCGTTCGATCCTCGTCCTGTCGGCAACGACCGTCCGTGGAACGAGAGATTAATTGACCTTCTTTATCTCGACCGCCTTGCCAGCGCGAAACTTCGTAGTTGCGATACTTCGTTTTATATCAAGGGTTCCCGAAGTAGCCGACATTGACACCAAAGAGTCGGCAGAGAGACAGAGAGAGAGAGAGAGAGAAAGAGAGGGAGAACTGTGCAGAGAAAGATAGAAGAGAGAATATCGAAATGTTGAAGGAAAGTCGATACATCGATACGATCTTAACAAGTTTGCCGTGGAATCGCTTCCCTCTCTCCCTCTGAGAATGAGGAACCTCTTATTATACTGATTATCTCACGAAAAGGCAGGAGGTTGACAGATATAAATGAAAATTTATTTTTCGTAATAAACTCTCTTACTTTCGTGTTCTCCCTCTTTCATTTTCTCATATTCTGACACTTCCACACTTCGACATTTGGACACTCCCACACTCGGATACTTTCGTATACGTATATACAAACACATACACTCTCTCTCTTTCTCTCAACACGCTTACACAATTTCGGACAGCACAAAGAAGCGCAAATAGGTTTACCGTATAATCAATATCCTCGGATATGATAACGCTATTGTTACACACACACGCACATATGCACGCTCGCTTTCCTGAAGGATGCGATATAAATTATCCGATGAATTTCCTGCCGAGCGGCGGACGGTCGCCTCTAAATTCCACGTGCGCTTAACGTGCTCACACGATTTCGGGCAACACAAAGAAGCCTCTAAATAGATTTACCGTATAATTAATATCTTTGGGTATCATAACGCCATTGTCGTGCCCGCACACCCACATTTTCTGCTGAAGGATGTGGCATAAACTATCTGGTGGATTTCCTGCCAAGCGGCGGGGCTGGTCGCCCCTAAAATCTACGCGCATAACGTAGCCCGGTCGTAATTAGCTCGCTCCGTCGCATTTTACGAGTGTGGTAACGTCACTTGATTATACGACCACTTAGAATATTAAACGATAAAGCATGGCCGAACGCATCGCCGGTGCCAATAGCCGTTCAGCTCGTTTAATTCGCCCTATACGTCGCTTAAACCTTATTACGCGCGTGCATAAGCGATCACGTACGCCTGTTAATAAATTTCTGCTCATGTGCCGTGAGCAGCTCGAAATCGGTATTTTCCTAACCGCGAGCTACCGACGTAATTGCGCGGATAATAATCGACGCTCATGAGCCGGAAGAAAGGAGAGAGACGGGAGGGAAGGTTGGAGGGAATGTACTAGATCATGCTTGATACGCCACGATTAATTTATGATGCTTTGCTCTGCCCACCAAGGTGTTTTCGCGCATAACGAGAGAATTCTGCAGGGAGGAGGGAGAATTTAACGGCGTGATAAATCGTCATCCGATATCTTTCGTCGTTCGTCTCGTAAAGCTCGGCAATCCGAATTACATCGGAACTCGAGCGGAATTTTTCGTTGTTCACAGCGAGCGTCGCGCTCTCTCACGACTTTCGTAATCAAAATTTTATCGTTGCGTGTGCTTAACTTGGAGCAGGAAATTAAAGCAGAAAGAGAAAGATAGAGAGAGAGGGGGGAGAAAGAGTGAGAGAGGAAGAAGGTGAGAGAGAGAGAGAGAGGAAGAAGGAGAGGGCACATGTACTATACGTACGAAACAATATAATGAAATGCTGAGAAACATCGCATTACGCGATACGTTGCAGCAACTCTTCAGTCACATATTGCTTTCCGGTAACGCAGTTTCGCGTTTAATAAGTCCAACCTCGTTTCATTTTGTGTATTTCGTTTGCGATGAAACTTCATTTCGGCCGTGGCAATATCGGCAACAAACTGCTCGTAACAAACAGTGTAAACTGTGAATACGGGCACGTTCGCGGCATTACCGGCGTTTGACGGTGCCTGCATATTATTGCTTTTTAAATAGCGCATCGGGCCGCTTCATCCCGGCGTCGTTAAGCGCATTGCGAATTTGTTACCGTCGCACAACCAGTTCGGTTATTATCGTCGTGAATTTAAATCGTTACCGCATGGTTACCGTCATACTCATTTTTTGGCGTCGCCGCCGCTGCCATCGCCGCTTTTCCCTGGGAATATTTGACAATTGACTCGATGTTGTTTCGGAATTAGTTCACTCGACATCCCCCGACACCCGTGTGCACAAACAATCACTCGTCAATGGAACGGAAAAAAGGACTGGCTTACATCGAAAATGCGCGTTGCATTTCCAATTACCACCGGCGAGCCCGGCCCGGCAGCGCGCGATAGCGCGAATTAATTTCGATCCTGCAAAGAATGGGGAGGATACGTTTTAATTTGATTGTTTTAATTTAATTGAAACAAGCGGGAACACTATGGTCGCGCGCATGTAGCATTTGCCTTTTTTTTCTTTTTAACTCAATCTCGATTTGCCGCCTACGTGCACCACTGTCCGGTTATTTATATTTGGTTACATGATTTCTTGTGCATTACGATCCAATAAATATCGTAGATAAACGGCGGCGACGCGGAAGCGACGAGGCCGCGAGCATCCACCGGCAGAGAACACGCGGTATCTGCGCGATCTATTAAATAAAAAAGAAAACACACACAAAAGGAAGAGGAAAAAAAGGAGGACGCGTGGGGGAGGCAGGCACGGGGTTAAAAATCTCGAAATTATAAGCGCTCTCGCCTCCGCCGCCGTCGGGCTTGAAGTGAAAAACCGGCGCGATTCAACGCGGCGTGAAATTAAGTGGTTTCGCGGAGATTAATACCGGCCGATTACAGCTAAAAATACGTTCTCGAGCAACGGCCGACATGGCCGTTCGCCGCGTAATTGTATTCCTTTTTTTTTTACTATGCAAATGCGCGCGCGCGCGCTCTCCTCGCGTGCGGATATCGCCGGGCTTTGCGGTCGCGTGCGAATTTCCCTTCTTCGGCGGCAACATATCGTCTGCCGCGTTATTAGCGACCGGGCTTATCACGGGGTCGCCGCCGCCGCCATGTATATGATTGCATAACGATTCCGACGCGCTCGGGCTTATTGCGCGCCGTCCACTTTCGTTTGTAGACCGATAACGACGGTCCGGCGACGATCAATCACCGCGGTAATGTTCTCGCGCGTATCGCCGTTCTCTCCTTTCTAGCCGGCGCGATGACTAATTTGCGTACTCCGCCGAGCCGGGGGTTGTAGAAAGGCCGCACCCTCCTCGGTGGCTGATACCTGCGCGAAGTGCATCCGGCCGGTGGACGATGTATTATTCAACGGTTGCCTTTTTTTCATCGGACGAGAAAGTAATGCCTATCGTAAAGTTGACTGATTGGGAGACAAGGAGAGCGAAACGCGTGCCGAGGATACGCCGATAACCCGGGGAACGTTGCAATAAAAGAGAGAAAAGAATGAGCGTTGCGCTGGGGAAAAGAAGGAGAGAAAGAGAGAAAGAGCGATGCGTTCGCGTATACCAGCTCTTATGCATTGCATAGCATAGATGCGCTTATGGCGCAGCAGGCTAACGTCACGTTTCTTTCTCTCGGATCTCGCGACACGCCGCGCTATTAGTATATACGCCAACACCTTGGTGTGTTTTGCTATTTATCTGTCATTTCTTTGCCATTTCTTTGCCATTTCTTTGCCATTTCTCTGCCATTTGAGCCAGTTTCCTGCTGCGCGATCTCTGATAAATATACATAAGTAATTTTGTTAGAACGTTGCTTTTGTTTTCGAGATACAAAAAATCGCGAAGTCCCTCGAATATAAAGAGAAATACATCTACGATGTGTACTTTGGCGTGTTTGGCTAAGAAGATTTCGAAGATTAGCATTGATGTCTTGAAAAGTTCAAAAGTTTTATATATTGGGAAAGGAGATGTCTAAAAAATAAATATATTCAATAGATGTTAATGATACATCTACTTGTTCACAGAATTTCAATAATACCTTCCATTTTCAGCTATGGTATTTTGCTCGAGCATATTGTGTGTACATATTTTTCTATCGTAACTGTTAGTTTCGAGAAATATCTGCAACTCAGTCACATTAAATGCAACAATAATAATGCATATATGTATTCGTACGTTCCCGTTGCATTTAATGTGACTGAGTTGCTGGATTCTTCTGAAAATCAACAGTCATGATGCAAAAATATGTAGATACAATGCGCCAGAGCCAAAATATCCTAGCCGGAAATGGAAGGCGTTATTGGAGGCCTGTATACTAATATGCATATTTTTACATTGAAAAAAAATTCCCTTTAAATCAGAAAATACATATTTTTCTAGAACACCGTTATTTCTCATAAAAGCGATTGTTTATTCTGCCTAAATAAAAGAATTTAAAATTAAGCAAATATTTTATTGGTATCCACCGAAGAAATATTTTATTTTTTAGATTTTTTTTTGTTCAGTGTAGAAAATTAGTGCCTATGCCTGTTATTTATATGCCTGTTTTTTTTCGAGGAACTTTCTGAACTCTGGTATATATTGGTGCAATAAGCTAGAGTGAAATAAAATATACTTGTTTCACTCGAACTTATTGCACCACATAGTCTACACCACACAATTCAGGAAGTTGCTCGAAAAAGAACAGACCTACAATTTCCAGGATATCTTCGAAAATATATCCCGCCTGAAAATAGTCTTGGTTCGATAGAAACAAATGATAAAGATTAGTCGCCGATGGCTTCTCGGGGCGAATTGTTTGACAGTTCTCACGGTGTAAATTTTCGTGTCGATTACTTCGCGAAACTTTATTTATTATTTCATCGATTACTTCTTATATTCAGCCATTGTAACAGTATTCACGTTAAATTGCGGCTGTGGTTTATGAATCTGAAGAATTAGCACGGGAATGGCGGGGAAGCGAACGAAAACTGTGGCAAGGGAGAGAAGAAGCAGGGTTAAACCCACGAAAATCGCTGCGTTGGTCGTCTCGGCCATAAAGGATCTCCGCGAAGCCAAAGGCTCTACGTCCGAGAAGATCGCGGGATACATTAGTTACGGCTCGAGTATGCCCAAGGAATTTGTCAAGCGACAAGTGAGCGTGATGTTACTTCAAGAGGAAACTTGCAATACCGAAATTGAAATTTAAGCCATGATCCCGCAATTTGTTGTTTTCATTGCGCACAACGCGCATGCATATTTGTGTGTAATATTTGCGATTTCGCAGTTGATTGAGTGTTATAAACACCTTAACAACAACACACAACGTTCACACGATGCCGTCGATTCAAGTAAAAAACGATAACGTCGATTGAAATCAACGTCGGCAATATTTTTCCATTTTTTCTGTTTTTACACATCAATCATTGTCACAGGCATGCGTATGTAAAACGCGCACGAGTGCCAAGTTCGTGTCAATCTCGCGAATCACTCTGGATAACGATTTTTTAACAGAAAGAATCCAGAAATTTTCACCAGTTAGCTCCCAATTACTCCCTTTTTCTCTCATTCTTCTCTCTTTCTCGCATACATACACACACATACACACACATACTCTTGAAACACAGAGAACATTACACGCTCGTGTTGTTTGAGCGCTTTTACGCGGTGGACGATTTTTCGTGTCACACTTTTGCAGATCCATTTTATCACCTAAGTTGATTACGTCGACATTTTCGCGGTCTCGCAGGTGAAGGCGGCTTTGAAGCGAGGCGTGGAGCACGGCATTCTGCGAAGACATCGCGGTCACTATTTCCTTCTCATTGGCGACGAATTGGATCGCGCGAATCGTATCGCCATGCGATTTGCAAGATTGCCGACGCCGTCGCCGCGGCCGCTCGCCAGGTCAAAAATCAATTCTGCCCGTAAGATAAAGGACCGTAAGAGACCCCGAGGAATTGGTAATAGAGTGCGAAAGAGCAAAAAAGCTCGCCGAAGCCGCAGCCCCTCAGCCGTTCCTAGTTTGACGGACAAAATTGCCGATGACGACGTCGCGTTCGCGACGGAGTGAAATCACTTACCGATCTGTATAATCCTGGGAAAATATTTTTCCGTGCGCGCGCGCGCGCACGCGTTCCTGATGCCTGTGTTTGTTCGCGAAACTATTATCTGTTTTCAATCAGAGGAGACGTAAAGTTAACTCATCCGCAAACAATACTCGCCGTGAACGTGTGATAAACATATGATTAGAACCGTACCTGTGCGAAGGTACGACGAGAGTCGTCTATCTGTGAGATCATGTGCAAATTATGTCACGTGTATCGATGTTGTGTTGCTTGAATGATAAAGAGTAAATATCCTCGCGTTGCTCTTTCATCGGCACGTTACTCGCATTGCCCGTCGAAATCGAGAAATAATGATCCACGTGGCGGACGGATATAATGGTTATGAATATTAATTAAAACTCTCGCCGCGCCAGCTCGATCATAAATTATCGATAATGTTTTATCGTTATCGAGATTTTAATATCCTCCGGCACGATGAAGTGGATCGCGATGTTCTTAGACGAACGGCGACGGTGAGAAACGGATGAATCGTTTTCTATTACAACGATATATCGAGTCGGTCGTGTCTCGACCCGACGACGACAACGACGAGCGGTAGCATCGCTTCAGCGCTCGTCCGCGCTGCGGCAGAATTAAGTGAAATGAGGAACGAGCTTTTTTCGTAAATTGCACCGGAGGTAAGGCGACCATTTATAAAAGTTAGGAGCTTCTTACCCGGGCCGATAAACTTAATAGCTTCAGAAATTTACGGGGTTTGGCATGCTGAGGAGAAAATTTTGTGCGCCTCTGTTCTTGCCGATCGATCGCGCCCGCAACTTCTTCCTCGTTTTATTGGGTACATCCGCGTCATTACGCTCGCGAAATAATTTCGTTCTCACTTCGCCGTTTTTCGTCTGTCTCTCTCTCTCTCTCTCTCTCTCTCTCTCTCTCCCCCTCTCTCTCTCTATCTTTTTCTCTCTTTCTCTCTCTCTTTCTTTTTTTCTCTCACTCTCCTCCTTTCTCCTTTCTCTCTATTCTTCCCTCACATTCTTTTTTCTTCCTCGTGTGTACACGTCTTGTATAGCGCAATATCTTCGATGGAACATATTTACGGCGCCGTGACGGCGAGCTTAATGGCGGAATGTGTAAGTCGCTGGGTGGCGCTGTGTAAGTTACGTTTTACGCGACTACGCGAGAAAAGGCAATATGAATCGTAAAGCGCCGACTAAAGCTCGTCGATGAGATATAAATGCGGCAATGTTGTGTCGATCGATGCAGCGCGTATTGAGGAGGAAACCCGGTAAATACGATCGATAAGTCCTCAAGTTGCAGTATACGAGGTGCCCCAATTTATCGGATGTCCTCGTAACTACAGTTTCCTTGATCAAATTGAAGGTGATTTTTCTCTCAGGAAGACGTCGAGTCAGGTCGTAGTTTATCGTCAATTTGCAACATCACACAACGAGCGTATTTATTCGCAGCTTTTTAAGATAAAAAAATTGTTGAAGATTCCTCCATCAAAGAGTCCTTAGCAGATCCTGCGACTTGATTTTTGCCGGAAAATTCAATTCGCCGAGGACTTGTTTCCAATTTGTTCTTGAGAGAGTTATAGGTGGCTCAACATTTTTCATTGAGGGAAAATTGATCCCAAATTGAGTAAAGAATCTACAATGTAAAGGTCGTCCTTTGGGACACCCTAGAGGACACGCTGCTGCTCGCTATGACTATCGGATAGTGTCGGGATTAATTTGATGATGGGATCAAATAGCCGCACAGTTACGGCCGCGCACGGCACATCGAAGCGCGCATCGTTCATTTGGAGTGTCTTCTTGCACTTCGACAAGCTCGTTTATCATGCGCCGTTGGTCGCAACTTTAAATAGAATCGCGCGTACGTTGAAACTGGTATTAAAATTGACTGCGAATAGTTAGAATAGCGAGTGAACGAGGGAGAGAGCGAGCGAGCGAGTCTTAAGTTGTTTCGAGAGACCGTAACGTGCGCGGCAAGTTAAGTAACTTCAGAGAAGGCGTGCGATAAATAAGAGACGGAATAGTCGCTATTCTGCTTCTTGTCGCCTTTTTGCCGCGGAATTTTATTCGCTCGCGGGCGTTCTTCCGCGACGAAATTTTTTGTGGAAGGCGCGCGCTCGTGTTGTATCGGTTTGCTTGGAATTTCGGCGGAGCGAGCGGCGGGGATGCAGTTGCGGGTGTTTCGCGAATTTGTTTCGAGACGACTGGTCTGGAATTCCACCGAGATCCGATTAAATTCCGCGAGAGAGAGGAAGCGAGACGCTTCTCTAATTCTCGGCTCTCTATAATCTTGCCGGCGGAGACTAGCTACGAACAAACGGTCAGCCTGAGACAATCTGAATCCGTTCGAATGATAATTCGAGAAGCTAGTCGGCACCTAACGGCTCTCATTTCCCGACGTCGATAAAGCGTGGATCCTCGGCGATGGCGTGTCCGCGTTTAGGAGGTGCTGCGTTGAGTAAACCGTTCGGGCGTTAACTCTTTGCCGACTGGTTTACAAGCGTGCGGCGAATTAGTGCGCCAGCTTAAAATTGTTCCGCATACATTATGGCTTAGTCGAGGTGCACGCGAAAGCCCTTAATCGCGTGTGCAAACCTAAACTGAATTGCGAATACTTTGTCTCGCGATCTATAATGAAACGCGGTTCTTTCCACCACTTTGCCCAGCATTCTACCATTGGCACTATTTTTTGGTGCACTCTCGACAGTCGTAAACGAGATATTTCACAGTCCTCTCTCGTGCAGGAATATTCCAGGTGACCCAGACACGTGCACATGTCATGTAATTAACGCAATAAATTTCGGTTAATTTCGATATCTCGTTAATTAAGAGCGGTTAGACGCACGGGCGCGTTAATGTGCGCGTACCGGAAACGGGGTATCAATAATTCCATTAGCGCGTACTCCTTCGCAGCTCGATGGCGAGTACGCGAAGCCATTACCAAATTTCGCTTACGCGACGGTCGCGGACGGGATGCGCGTAGCGATCGCGGTGAGAAATGTAGTCTCGAGTTTATGAGTTTTCGCCGAGAGAGAGAAGACTGTGTGTATGTGTGTACATTGTACGTGCTCGCATTGGAAACGAACGGGCTTTGCCATGGACACGCTATAATTGTAAGTTGCGCGACTCGGTCGTATCAAGGAGCCCAGTTGAATGCCGTTAGTTCGAATTCCGCCGAGCTTCGCGGTTCCGCAACTGCAATTGCGTGGCTCGCATCGAGCAATGCAATCCCGACTGACCCTGCGTTTCTGTTGCATACGGCGGAGAGAGAGAGAGAGAGAGAGAGAGAGAGAGAGAGAGAGAGAGAGAGAGGGAGAGAGAGAGGGCGGAAAAGGGAGAGGACGATGTCGTCCTTGCGCATCTGGGAAACCGGAGAATGGAACGGAAGCAGTTGCGGCTGACTGCAAAGGTATCCGCAGTCTTGAAAGTGGCGGGTTATACTGGCGATTGCTCGGATTAATCGTTTTCCTCAGGAACATGTTTATCCTGGAATTGCTCATTGTTCCGTGAAACACAAATTAAGCTTGCCTGCGCCAATGTGGCGTGTTTAGACCGCATTTCGCCTAAATTGTCCACTCTGTATGCTCTTCTTAAACCTCCCACGTATTATGCTGGGTCTGTGAGACTCAAACGAATATTCGATCGTTCATTAACTTGTAGTCCAGGAAAACTTTAAAATAGCGAAAATATGTTTGTAGATTTTGGTCTCATCGCTAGCTATTATCTTTTAGATGAGGCCTTTTTATATCTCTGAAAAAATCATAGTCTAAACATTTTTGAACCTAGTGATAGTTCGAAGTTGTCTGACAGACTCAGATCGCAAGGTGAAAATATTAATTCCTAGATATTTTTTTGTCATTTTGGTGTTTAAATACGAATATTTAAACTCTCTACATATGTATATATATTTGTTTTACGTTAAAACTTTAAATATTGTTATTTAAAGACCAAAATAATAAAAATGTCCAGGATTAGAGAGGGAGAGAGTGAGGTACGTATGTGGAGACATGGTATTTTACTGTTTTATGTCTCAAGAAACATGTTTGCACGCACGGAGTGTTGGTAATCCTGCCGACAATTGTGTCTCGGTGTTGCGTTCCACGTTTAGTTATTCAACGTTCGGCATTATTGAACGTCGAACTATATCCGCGAACACGACATACTCCAATCCGGTCTCTCGCAGACAGCAGGCGAGGAATGAAAGATACATTTGGCGAGGCGTTTCGTGCTGCGCCGTTCGTCACGATATTTTATTACTGTCAAGAATTCCCGAGGCGTATTCGCGGGATCTTGTAAATCCGGCATCGCCGCGACATAAATTTCGTCGAGTAACGTAACCGTGATAATCCCCGCGGGAGCAGAAAACATTTGTCTCACTCTCATAGAGTTCGCCGGGACTTTCGGGGGCGCGGCGGGGGAGAGGAGTCGTATCGATGCGACTGCTGTCTTAAAAGCAGATCTCTCGCGACGATATACTTCAAATTCATCGTGCTTCCCGTGTTTACGCGACAGTCATCTGTAACGGATGCGCACCGGCCGTCGCATACAAACGAGAGATATCCGTTCACACGGATCCGCGACTGAAACATTCGCAGCGAAATAACCAGTTGCGCTGGATCACAAAGGCCGCATTTTTCTCTCTCGCCATGAGCAATTCGTCGTGTTCATCTGAATTAATCGGCAATCCGCAAAATTTGTTTGCTTGACACATCATTGGACAATTTCGCCGAAACGTCCTTTATACAAAGCGGCTGTCAATTCGCACGGCGTGTTTATATTTTTCAAATATTCGCGTGCCATTTTGCGACGGACGTTTCATGAACCGGACAGATTTTCGGGAATTCGTAGGCGAGAGCGCGCAACGACGTGACGCGTAAGGGGGGCGACGCCCCCTGGGCTTTTATACAATTACACGGTTTACATCGGTAATTACGTTATTTGGATTGAACAATACTGTGCTGACCATACGGGTCACATCCTGTTGCATGCACAGTCGTGTGAGACAATGGTCCCGCACGCCTACATCTCGCAGATGCTTGCAGAATAATATAGGATATTATGGCGGAGCGAGAGTACGCTCGACTGCGCAAAACCGCACTTCAATGGTTCATTATATACGTATTAAGATGAAGACTCGCGCAATCTCTCGACTGCCACTTTATTATTTCATGAGAAAGCATATTCGCAACTTTACACACTTCTTGACTTCTCCGCTATTCTCGCACAACTAAACCCATAATAATAATAATGTTTTATCAACAGTCGACCTCTTTCGACATTTTCACTTTGTTGCGTCGCAGCAATATAGATTTTCATAAGAAGTGCTCACGCAACCTAGACTAATTCCATCTTAATTACATCGTTTAAACGGTTCTGTAAACTACGAAAATCTGCCTTATTTGTGAGTTATCGCGAGATTAGATTTTCGCGTGCGAGCAGCAACGAGCAGAGCAACGCGCACAGAGTCGTGGGGGCGGCTCGCCGCTCACAATTTCCGCCTGTAGTCGTAGCGGGTATTAGTTCGAGTTACAGAGAGATGTTGGCGTCTTCGGAGTTGCAATTGCACGGTTGAAGCAACGTAATAACTCCTATTGCACGTGGGACACGATTGCCTTGTACTGCTGCGAGATGTCTGGAGCTGGAATGAAAGGAGACATGCTCTTGACGAGAAATGAAACCGTGTTCCAATAACTACGCCGCGTAATTGTGCCAATTAATGGGTCATCCGCGACATACCCGGTGTCTAGTTACCCATTACGTGAACAAAATGCTCTAATGGTTTACGACGTTTAAGAGAACGCACGTTTATTTCGCATCGGAGAGCCTTGGTCGATTGCGTATCGCTCCGTGTTCGTTAATTAATATCCGTACACGCTGCAAAGAGGATTTAACGCGATCGGATTTTCAAAATAACAAATCGCGAAATAACGAAATATTCGAGGAAGGAGAG